GAGAATAGCACAGAGGTGGGCGCGGAAGTCAAGAGAATGGATGAGATGCCCTGAGGGAGAGTGTGAAAGGGAGTCTGAGGACAGAATCCCAGGGCCCACTAGTGAAGGGCTGGATAGAAGAGGAGAAGCCACTGAAGAAAACAGACAGATGGTGGCAGAGATGGGGGCTGGAGACATGGGATTTGGGGACAGAGAGAGAGGAGGCTTCTTAGACACTTGCAAGATAGACATCATCTCTATCCTCATTATTTCCCATGCCCGGAACCTCTAGATCTACAACCAATTCTTCTTGACAGTCAGAGATCTCTGTTGTTCTCAATCTCCACGATTAAGTCTACAGAGTCGGGATAGAATGTCGTCTCTCACTTGCTGCTTCCTCCAAAGACATGAGTCACCTCAAAGCACCTGATGATGGGGCAGTGACAGCCACAGTGGAAAAAGCGTCTCACCTTCTCTTTCAGTGGCTGAACGAGGTCTATTATTATACTTCTAATCAAGGCTAATGAGAAATTAAGCAGCTTTCTCAGTCACACAGTTGATATATGTAATAGGTTCTTAGCAATGATCCAAGCTCTCATCACTGTATTTAAGCAACTGTCTATGCCTAATAAAATGACCAGCAGAATGCTAACAAAGACGCTGGGTTTTAGTTCCAAGAAGTTCAGTTGCTAACTAGCTGTGCAAGGCACCCTGCACTCCATTTCCATTTATTAGTAAAAAAAGATGATGGCTCAAGTCTCTGGCCACAACATGGTTTATTTTGATGCTATCAGAGGGGGCTTGAAGGCTGTGGAGGTCAAGGGACATTCCTACGAATCTTCTGTTCATACTTCCAGGGAAAATACGTGGCCATGGCTGAGGCAAGCTCTCTCCACAGGGAGGATGGGACCACTTCATTTTACTCAATCCTGCCTATTACCTTTCCTAATTTTCAACATCGAAAGACCTAGAGTATGTGCAAGTGGAATCTACTTAAATGAACCCAAAGAATCTGCTTTATACTATATACTGCCCATGACGTTTCCTAACAAAACCATCAGTACTAGGTGCAGCAAACCATCACCAATAATAACATATTCTACTTCTAACTTGTCTGCCTGCCTCCTTCAACAAAGGCAAATACTGTACTGTGATCTCACTTGCTAGATGAGAGCAACGGGTTCTTAATGTAGATGCAATTCCTGGGGCCTTTCTGAAAGATGCTTTTTGTCTCAAGTGGCTGTGCTACGGGACGAGAAATGAATAAAGCAAGAACAAGTGCTATGAGCTCCGTATAATTAGAGGACAAATAGGAATGCAGATATATTAAAAGAAAAAAAAAATAATAAACTATTAGCCAAAATGTTAATAGACACAAAAACATCCTGGTGTTGCCACTAATACCCAACAGATATATTCTTCACTAGAGAGGATCATTTAATGAGAAAGAAGGGACAACTTTAGACGTAAAAATAACCTAAAAGCTCATGATCTGCCTTCCATACATGGACAGTTCAGCTATGAGATAGATAAAAATCAAACTGGGCTTCTTAACGTTCCTCCCATCCCTCTCAAGCCCTAGGATGATGCATTAAACAGAAGGGAGTCCCAATAAATAGTTGCTGAAGGAATTACCAAGTAAAATTCTAGGAGGTAAGAAAACATGGCTTAGGGGAGGGGGCAGGGTTTCACCCCAGAGTTAGGGAATAATAAATATCTGGAAGAATAATGATGATAATAGCCAATACCTGACTGCTAGATATTATCCTAAATACCCATTTGAATTTTACCAGAGGTATAGGAGGCAGGTGCTATTACTATCCCTGATGGTTAGAAAAGGAGACACTGAGGCACGAGGGTTAAGTACTTCGTCCAAAGTCCTATGGTAGGGAATCGAAGCCTTGCTGCTAATGCAGGCTGTCGGGCTCAGAGCCTGGCCTCCCAACTACTATGCAAGAAAAGACAAAGGTACAGAGTATGAACAGGCAAGTCAGAGAGGAAGAAGAAACCCTAACAGAAAAGAAATACATGAAAATATTAAAAATATCACTACTAACCAGTGAAATATAAATTAAAGCACACTAAAATAACATTTTTCCCTCCTCTGATAAGGATGCAAAAAAACAGGAATGTGAATTGTATTAATCTCTCGGGAAAGTAATCTGGAAATATTTAAAGCATTAAAAAAACACAATAACCTTTGACCTAAAATTCCCACGTTGGAGAATTTCTCCTACTAAAATAAGAGCACAAGTATTTAATGTCATGTTGTTTACTGTGTACTGTTGGTGGAGGCTAAAAACTGAAAACAACCTAGATGTCCATCAACAGAGAGGTTGCTGAATAAACTGTGCAACACCCACAGCTGGAATATTACGTAGCTTACTTCTGTGTAAGGTAGATTACAAGTTCACTATGAAAATGAGCAAACTAGATCCTCTACTGACCCAAGAGACATCTATGAAATATTCTTAAGTGACAGAATAAATTTCAGAATAATATACATATTACGAGCATAGTTTTTAAAAATACCTAAAAAATCCTACATGTGTATACGTGTTTCTATGAGTAATCAGTTTGGTGAAAGGAGAATCATGACAGGTTAACATCAGTGTCCTGAGGAAGGTGGGAATAGAGGA